ACTACTACTACTACTACTACTACTACTACGACTACGACCACTACTCCTACTACTACTACTACTACTACTACTACTACTACTACTATTATTACTAATACTACCACTGCCACTACTATTCATACTACTACTACTACTACTACTACTACTACTACTACTACTACTACTACTACTACGACTACGTCTATTACTACTACGACTTCTACTATTACTACTACTACTACTACTGCTACTGCTACTGCTACTGCTACTACCACTACTACTTTTACTACTACTGCTACTACTACTGCTAATACTACTGCTACTACCACTACCACTACCACTACTCCTGCTACTACTACTACTACGACTACTACTACTACTACTACTACTACTACTACCACGTCTACTATTACTACTACTACTACTACGACTACTCCTACTACTACTGCTATCACTACTACACTACGAACTACTACTACTACTACTACTACTTCTACTACTACTACTACACTACTACCACTACTACTACTACTACTACTACTACTACTACTACTGCTACTACTACTACTAGTACTACTACTACTACTACTACTACTTCTTCTTCTACCATTACTAACTACTACTACTACGACTACTACTACTACAACAACACTACTACTACTACTACCACTACCACTACTACTACTATTACTATTACTACTACGAAACACGACTACTGCCTGCTACTACTACTACTACTACTACTACTACTACTACTACTACTACCACTACTACTACTACTACTACTACTACTACTACTACTACTGCTTCTGCTACTACCACCACGACCACGACTGCTACTACTACTACTACTACTACTACTACTACTACTGCTACTACTAATACTACTACTACTACTACTACTACTACTACTGCTACTACTACTACTACTACTTCTACTACTACTCCTACTACTCCTACTACTCCTACTACGACAACTACGACTACTAATACTTCCACTACTACTGCTGATACTACTACGACTACGACTACGACTACGACTACGACTACTACTACTACTACTACTACTACTGCTACTACTACTACTACTACTACTACTACTACTACTACTACTACTACTACTACTTCTACTACCTAGAACAACTACTACTACTACTACTAACTACTACTACTACTACTATACTACTACTACTACTACTACTGCTACTACTACGACTACTACTACACACTACTACTACTACTAACTACTACTACTACTACTACTACTACTACTACTACTACTACTACTACTACTACTACTACTACTACTACTACTACTACTACTACTACTACTACTACTACTACTACTACTACTACTACTACTACTACTACTACTACTACCTACTACTACTAATACTACTACTACTACTACTACTACTACTACTACTACTACTACTACTACTACTACTACTACTACTACTACTACTACTACTACTACTACTACTACTACTACTACTACTACTACTACTACTACTACTACTACTACTACTACTACTACTACTACTACTACTACCACTACTACCAGTACTACTACTACTACTACTACTACTACTACGACTACGACTACGACAACCATTACTCTACTACTACTACGACTACTACTACTACTACTACTACTACTACTACGACTACTACTACTACTACTACTACTACTACTACTACTACTACTACTACTACTACTACTACTACTACTACTACTACTACTACTACTACTACCACTACTACTACTACGACTACTACTATTACTACTACTACTAGACTACTACTGCTACTACGACTACTACTACTACTACTACTACTACTACTACTACGACTACGACTACGACTACGACTACGACTACTACGACTACGACTACGACTACTACTACGACTACGACTACGACTACGACTACGACTACTACTACTACTACTACTACTACTACTACTACTACTACTACTACTACAATACTACTGAGACCCCAGGACGTCCACTGGCAACGCTCGATGTTGGAACGTCGCGCTTTCCACAGCAGAGCCAACAAAACCCAAGAACCACAGGGCACCCTGGAGGCAAGCAAGGTGCTTCGTGGCATGGGCCTCCGCTGTACATCCCAGTCCTGGGACCGTCAAGGCCCAACTCGGAACGAGAAGCCGGCCCCGGGGAAGCGGGCGAGGTCCCCGGGGATGGCGGCCACGGTAAGTCCGACGCCCGAGGGGAGCTCGGAACTCGGAGCTCGGATATCCTCGAGAGTCCGCCCAGGGGCGGCACCGCAAGGGGCGTGTGCAGGACGCGAAGCTGCCCGCAGACCCGCCCGAGGGGAGGGGAGAGGAGAGGAGGGCGAAAGCTGGGCGCGCGCGCGCGCCCCATCCGACGTCCCAGCTCGCCCTCCCAGCCCTCCCCGTTGCGCGGATTCGTCTCTATCCGCGGGCTCGTGTCCTAGCAGACCCGGGACCCCGTCGTGCTATGCGCCGTCGGAACAGGGAAACTTGCGGGACCTGTGCGACCTGGGGGACATCTGTGGCCTGTTGGGCCTATGAGACCTGTAGGACCTGCGGGACCTGTGGGAACTGTGGCACCTGCGAGCCCTGCGAGACCTGTGCGACCTGTGGCACCGGCGGGACGTGTGGGACCTGTGGGACCCGGGGGACATCTGTGGGACCTGTGAGACATGCGACACCTCTGGGACCTGTGGGACCTGTAGGATTTGTGGGACCTTTGGTGCATGCGAGACCTGCGACACCTCTGGACCTGTGGGACCTGCGGAACCTGTGAGCGCCCGTGGGACGACCTGCGAAACCGTGGGTCACGTGGGACCTCTGGAGCCTGCGAGACCTGCTAGACCTATGGGACTGGCGAACCCTCAGGGATCCAGAAACACGGCCCACGCAGGGGCGGGAGCGCCATCCTGATGCTGATCGACGGGAGCACAGCGCCGATCCGAAAACGAGGCGGCCCACGCTGCCGCGAGAGCACCATTTTTGAACAACTGAGCCAGACTAGAAAAGCCGAAAGAGAATCCACTTCGGCCCAAACCTGTGTGCGAGAGAAGGAACAGGACGCGGAGGGAGGCGGGACATCCTCAAGACAACTTCAGGGGAGAGAAGAGAGTAGTCTTGAGTCGGGCATACCCTCCTACAGGCGGGCGTTGGAGGAAAAATAAAAGATCCTCAACGTATATTACAAAATAACCGAAGATTGTGTGCATATACACACATATATCTATATACACATGTCTATATATATATATATATGTTAGCGAAAAACAAACACACAAAAAAAAGTCCCCAAGCTATGTTTTTACTGTTCTTGAAAATTCCCCCTGTTCAGGGACAGGCCCGACTCGAGAGTAGTATTCATGATGAGCAACTGTGGAAGAGCGAGGCGGCCTCTACAAGCATCTTCTGCTGAAAGGACCGCTCCAGCTCCTGTGTCTGCCTGCTGTGCGACTCGTCCAAAGCCCGTATCTTGTCCTCGTACTCGAGCTCCATCTCGCCCTGCCGCGAGGAGAAAGGGGAGGAGGAGGAGAAGGAGGAGGAGGAGGAGGAGCAGGAGGAGGAGGAGGAAGGGGCAAGGGAGTGCGGGAGGAAAGGAAGAGGAGAACGAGGAGGAGGGCGAAAAGAGATGTCTGATATCGGAGGTGTTCGGATTCTTTCTGGCGTGTGCAAAGATTTGCGTGAGGAGGGGAAGGAGGAGGAGGAGGAGGAGAGGAGAAGGAGGAGGTGTAGGAGGAGGACGGCAGAGGAGGAGGAGGGGCAACAGCAGCAGGAGCAGCAGGAGGAACAGGAGGGGAGGAGGAGGCGAGATGGGGAGGAGGACGAGGAACAGCAGGGAGGGAGCGAAGGAGGAGGAGGAGGAGGAGGAGGAGGAGGAGGAGGAGGTGGAGGAAAGCGAAAAAAAGCATGAGCAGGGAGACGACGACAAGGAAGACAGAGGGAGGAGGCGTGGTTCTGCTGTTCTGCAGAGCGTCCGCGTGTTCTCATGCGTGCTCTTAAACATTCTCACAAAGAGGACCCGATGGCAGGCGAACTGGCCAGCGACCCGGCGAACCCTGCCAAACCCTCCCCGAGCCAGGCAAGGCCGAAGTGACCGAAGCGGGGCTCTGATTATCCGGGTCGACCGCCGCAGGGGGAGCCGGGCAACAGAAGTACCACAGAGAGGGAATACGAGAACAAGGAGGAGGAGGAGCAGCAGCAGCAGCAGGAGTAGCAGGAGGAGTAGCAAGAGGAGGGGGAGGGGGAGGAGGAGGAGGAGGAGGAGGAGATCATCCGCCGACCCCTTGGGGTCTACGACGTGTGAGACTGCTGCCCCCCCAGACCCCTCCCAGGGGGGCTCCGGTCGGTCAGTCTGGAGGGGGGGGGAAATTTCTAGGCGAAGTGGGCCAGCGGCCCTGGCGGCCCTGGCAGCCTCAGAGATACCCATGGACGGCCCCCGACGGTTTCGAAACTTCTCCGACTGTTTCCTACACGATCCCAGATGGGGGCCCCAACAAGCCGAAATCCGCCCACTCCATAAGGAAAACCGACGTGTTTGGCAAACTGCGTCAGAGGCCCAGACCAGCGACCCGAGACGGGCCAAGAGGCCTCCAGGACGGCCCCACGACGGCTCCAGGCGGCCCTGGGACAACCCAAGAGACACTCATGACGGCCCAGCACGGGCCCCACCCAGTCCAAGATGGCTCCAACACAGCCCGCCAGGCGTGCACCAAAATGGCCCGCAAAGGACCCCCCACAAGGGCCGCAAGCCAAAGTTCGCGCATTCCTCCTGGGAAAACTGACATGTTTGGCAAGCTGCTTCAGAGGCCCTGACCAACGACCCGAGACGGGCCAAAAGGCCGCGCACATAGCCCCAGAACGATTTCAAGTGGCCCCTGGTCAGCTCAAGAGACGCCAAAGATAGCACAGACGACCTCGAAACGCCCCCAGACGGCCCAACAAGGGTCCCATTGAACCCAAGGTGGCCCCAATACGGCCCGCAGGGCACCGCAGACGACCCAAGAGGGCCCCGAGAGGCCCTGTAGACGCCCCAAGATGGCTCCAAGAGGATCCCCACGAGGGCCTCCGCAAGAAAAGATTGCCCCGCTCCCCAAGGACAACTGATTTGTTTGGCAAACTGCTTCAAAGGCCCTCAACATCGAACTGGGACGGGCCTAGAGGCCTCGCACAGGGCCCCACGACGGTTCCAGGCGGCCCCTGGGCGATCTAGGAGACCGAGATTCAAAGCTCCCAGAAAAGTGGGAGACGTCTGGCAGCGCCAGATCTAAACCTGGGCCATGGGAGGATTCTGGCCAGAAGTGAGCGTGAGCTTTCAGGACGGCCTCCATACCAGCTGCTGCCGCCGCACCATGTTAGTTCCCCCGGAAGGGACCCATAAGGCAAAGGCAAGCGAACCACGCATCGTCCCCACGCAGCTGGTCGGATCACGCACCTGGTAGTTTCTTCACATCTGGGACCCACGGAGTCACAATCTACCGCCTCCCTGAATTCCGGACACACACACACACACACACGGCACTGCAGCAGATCGCCGGACACCCCACTCCGAAAGCAGCATCCCAAACGATCACCACGGAACCTGGCAAAATTGCACACACCCCGAAGCAAGATCTTGAATATTCCCGTGACAAGGTGCGCGCACTTCGCTTTCCCACCACCCTGAGCCGCGTCCTAAGAGAGATCAGGGTCAGCATCGAGCCAACGCATAACCAACCCCCCAAAAGTTCTGTTTGACGGTGCAGGAGAGGAGCCATACGAACACGAAGTCCCAGAAGATGATCGTGGACTTAGGCCTGCATGTGCATGCGGGACCTACTGATTCCAGGAGCAAGGACGGCTGCCACTCCAAGATTGGTACACCTAATCGTAAAATGCGTCCACCTTCCGAACCCTTCAGAAACAGGATACACTCATCATCACTACCAGGCTCCAACTCTTCGAACTCACACAGCGCCTGGTCCATAGCCTGACACTCAACGAGGACACGGAACTCGGTCGCGCGCGCCAAGAGAGCGAGGTCGGCGAACTCGAGACAGGCCCTAGGCCCCGCAGCTGCGTGAACAGGCAGTAGTCGAGTGCACATCTAGGGCCAGCCGCCAATATCTGCAATGCCTCACGGTTTCGCCAATTGGTCTCAGGGATGACCCGACCGAGTTGAAGCTGTTACTAGAGCACCGACAGGCAATTGGAATTGCTAAGACGTGGGCAGTCCAAGCACCGAACGGAGCTGCCGAACCCATGTTTATAACATGCTAAGCAACCAACTCACCTGCCGGGTCAACCCGAAGCTCAGGTAGAGAATATGCTGGCCAAACTTGCTAACCTGGAACCTGGTACCCTCTTCTTATTATTATGATCCGCTAACCACACGCAAAAGAGGACGCCACAAACCGGCAAATATCCTCTCCCGGTCGTCAATGAGAGACCGATCGCAGGAGCAAGTTGTCCGAGGAGAGCAAAGGCGGGCATCACGTCAACAAAAAGAGTAAGCTGGCCAAAGAAATAATCACATCACAGCGGATCCTCTTGTCTGGCTCCCACAGCTGCGGACTGGCTGTATCCCTTCTGGCATGGAGGCGCGGAGCCCCCATCGGTCCAATCATCTTGAGCCAAAATGGCGATGGAGGAAGAGACGGAAGTGAAGGATGAGGAGGAGGAGGAAGAGGAGGAGGAGGAGCAACCGTCACTCCCCCGTCGCCCCGCTTGAGGGAAAGAGGAGGGAGACGCAGAAGGACACACAAGGACGCATGGGAGGCAGAAGGACATACCAGTACTGTACGCCCCCCCCCCCCCCCTGGAGGCACATGTCCGAACCGAACAGCTGATGCACGAACGTCTAATAGCACATCGTAACACCAGCGGTATGGCCAGAAAGCGCCCACCGCCGAACATGTACGATGAGCCTTCTCATCGTGCGCGTCGCCACTTGGGGGCCGACGCCCCCATCGCGTGTAAGTGCAGATTCCGAAGCAGTGCTTGCGCATGAGTCCCACCAGCCCTCTGGGCGTCGGTGGTTTAGGGCGTTTCCTCTTCCACCCCTCCCTCTTCCTCTTCGAGGAGGGGTTTACCCCTCCCCCCTACCCCCTCCCCATGGACCTGGACGGGGGGGCCGCGGGTAGTTAGAGCGTCCAAAACGGCCTCGACGAGGAGGCCAAAATCATTGATTTTACTATGGTTTTGGCCCCATTTGGGCATCCGAGGGGGGGGGGCGTGATTGAGGAACCCCCCTTCGTTGACCGATCTCCTCCAAGATGGCTCCAAGAAGCACCCAGGAGGCCCAAAGAGGTCCCAAGATGGCCCCAAGATGGCCCCAAGAGACCTCCAAGACGTCCCAAAAGGCCACCAAGAATCTCCCAAGAGATACCCCAAGGGGCTCCGAGAGGCATCCAAGAGACCTCTGGCCCTTGTGCTTGCCCTCCTCCTCCTCCTGTTCCTCCTTCCTGCTCCTATTCCTTCTCTTCCTCCTCCTCCTCCTCCTCCTCCTCCTCCTCCTCCGCCTCCTCCTCATCCTATTCATCCTCCTTTTGCCCACGCCCTCATCCATCCATCCATCCATCCATCCACCTCCTCCTTCTCTTCCTCACTCTTTTGCACGGTTCGGCCGTCCTCCTCTTTGCTGCCGCACTTCCCTGACCACCTCAACTCGCCTAGACATCGTTTTTGGATGGGCTGGCGGAGAAACGCGAATAGTCTAATTTTTTGACGCTTGCACAATATAGATTTTACCGCAAATTTATTCCATATACCTACATACATAGATTGCACAACATATATTGAATCAGCAGATTACACCGCATAGGTTGCACCGCATATATAGATGGCATCACAGCTACTGCGCCGCATCAGTCTCACAACATCGATTGCATCACATAGATTGCACCACGTCGGTTGCATCGCATAAAATGCGAAGCACCTAGATTAGACCACATTGGTTCTTTTTTCTGAAAGAAAAACAGGTTCGACCCTCACCCCCCCGGGGTTAAAGACTTACCTTTTCCGCGTTGCAAGTTACAAAAGATTCTGCCCCATCTTCCATCCGAAATATGAATTTACACCATCCCGAAGGGGCCGGTATCGCTCCCCCCCCCGCCACCCTGTGCAGAAAGCTTCTATGCGCGCGCATTCGTTTTATCAAAAGTCACAGGTTTTCGAGAACCCCTTGCAAAACAAAGGAACGAAGTGCACACGCGCGCGTCGTCGCGCGCGCATGCCGAAATTCTTCAAAAACTGTCGTTTTCGGAAGGACTTCAGAATCGATTGTCCAAGAAACATGTTTACAACAAAAACGCTAGGTTTCGCAACTCGATTTTTCAAACAAAAATATGCGCGCGTTCCTGCGAATTCTTCGGGGAACCGCTGGTTTGTTCAAATGTGTTCAAGAATCTTGGAAAAAACCTACTAAGCTGGCGTCGCGCGCGCATGTCGAAATCGTTCGAACGCCCTTGCGCGCGTGCCGTCGCGAGAATCCCTTGCAAAACAAGGACACAGTGCGCACGCGCGCGTCGTCGCTCGCGCAACCGAAATCCTTCAAAACCGGCGGTTCCGGAAGAAATTCAAAATCGGCGGCCCAAACAACATACGAAAACACTAGGTTTCGCAACTAGGACTTTCAACAAAAGCGTGCGCGCGCGCTTGTTTTCCAAATTTGCGCTCGAATGTTCAACATTTCCCTAAAATGCTACCAAACGGGCTTCGTGCGCGCGCATGTCGAAATCGTTCGAACGCCCTTTGCACGCGCGCTGGGGCGGCACGATCCGTGTCAAATGATACCATACGAGCCACTCTCGCGCGTCTGCCGCGCGCGCATCTCGAATTCCTTCTAAAACCTTCATCACCGACGCGACGACGCCGTCATCGTCATCGACGTGATCGGCGTCGGCGCCGTCACTGGCGGTGTCGTCGTCGCTGTCAGCATCGTCGCCAACATCGTTACTATCATCATCGTGTCTACTGTAGTCGACGCTGCCATGATACAGCACCCGCCCAAGTCGCCGACTCGCACTGAAGTGCCCGCTAGGATGTGCCGAGCGGTCAACACCACCGCGGCCGCGTCGGTCGCGCCAAACTACCTGGCCGCTGCGCGCGCATGCTGGCGCGGCCGCAAAGATGCACCAGCCAGCGCCAAGCACTCATCACAATCGCCGCCGCATGAGGTTTGCAAACCAAGTTGCGGGTGGGTGGGTGGGATGTTTGCGCGAGCAGTTGAATGGACGATTCACTGCGTATAGAAATTCTAAAGTGTACCGCATACTTGCGCCACGTAGTTTACACATCATCTATTACACAACCTACACTGCACCACATACGTTCCACAACAGATGCTGCACAACATAGATTGCACCCAACATAAATTGCGTAACGTCGATACCACAACATAAACTCTCCGTACTAAAACAGAACAAATAGACTCGACCCCCCCCCCCTGGGATTATCGGTTCCCCTTTTCGCATCGCAATTTAAATTTGGTTCTGCCCCATCGCCCATCCGAAATATGAACTCGCACCATCCCAGCCAAACCGGCACCGGCCGCCCGCACTCGTTCATCAATAATCATCAGTTTGCAAGCATCCGTTGCAAAAAACGGAACAAAGTGCGCACGAACGCGTCGTCGCGCGGGCATGCTGAAATCCTTAAAACCAATGGTTCCGGAAGGAATTGAAAATCGAGTACCCTAAAAACATATAAAGACATATGAATTTGCGACACGGATGTTCAAAAACGGCTTCGCGCGTGCGCAGGTCGAAATCTTTCGAAAGCCCTTGCTCGCGCGCGCCGTCGCGCTAGGGTTGGCGCGGCCGCAGATGCACCAGCCAGCGCCAAGCACGCATCGCAATCGCCACCGCTTGGGTTTTGCAAACCAGATTGCGGGCGGGCGGGCGGGATGTTTGCAAGAGCGCGGGATGCGTCAACTCATTCGTTAGAACCAATTGCACCACTTAGAGCGCACTACATCGAGCGCGCCGCATAAATTGCGCACCGCATGGATTGCACAAACATGTATGTATATATATACATATACGGAAAAACCGCATTGGTGTTTCGCGCCATGCGCTTTGTTCCGGACGCTTCACGGGCAAAGCAAGAAATCATCGTTTGCGTTAGCAGGGGTGCCTCGAAGCCTGACGCGCGACCGGCTCATTTTTCTAATGTCCCAAGTGCCTGCTGACACCGCGTTCGCCCGATGCGTGTGCACGCTTGTGCGCAGGAGTGGGGAAGGAGTGATGATTTGTCATGCGCGAAGGTGCTGGCAAATGACCAAGCATCAAGCTATTGCGATGGCACCTGTCCACGAACGGGGAACGGGAAGGGAGCAGGGATCAGGGGGGTCTGAGGAGGCGGAGGCGGGGAGAAGGGGGGAGAAACAGGGAGAAGGTCCAGAGGAAGGTCCGATGAAGTCGCAGTAGATCCGCAAAAAAAACGATGTGTGATCGCTGGCCCTGGGCACTCAGGAAATCTTCGATCCTCGAACTTCGATTTTAGATCCATTGCCTCTCTCTCGATCGAAGAATTCAAGCCGCGAGCCTCAAGCGTGGAACCAAGATCGTCGGGTCAGCTCGATGTACTTCGTCGGAGAACGCCGTTTGGGCGTGAAACTCTTTTGGGCCGTCGTGGGGCCCTCCTGGGCCCTCCTGGGCCGTCTTGGGCCGTCTTGGGGTGCTGGGGCCCTCCAGAGTCTTCTGAAGCCTTCTTGTGGGTCTCCCATTTGGGTGCCTTCTGGGGGTATCCTGGGCTTCTTGTGGGCAGTCCCGGGCCTCTCTGGGGCAGTCTTGGGGCCCCCTTCGGCCGTCATATCGGGGGCTCATCGGGCCGTCTTGGACGCTGCGAAGACCCAAAAAGTGGATATGTTAAAATACACGTTTTCCTGCGGAAATGGGACGATTGTTGCTTCTTCGGGGCTCTCTTAACGGCCTCTTGGGGCGTCTTGGGGGCCTCTTGGGCCGCCTTCGGACCATCGCGGTTCCTCTCGGAGCGCTCTTATGCTGTCTTGGGTCTCTCTTGCGCCTCTCCGATGACCCCTCTGATCGCCTTGAGTCTGATCGCAAGGCCCGGCAAGGCGCCCTGGGAGGCCCAAAAGGGCCAGCGGACCTTTTCCAAGGGCGTCCTGGGGGCCGCCGAGACGTCCGAAAGGGCGTCCAGGGCGTCCCTGGGGGGGGATCCGGTTAGGGGGGTGGGGGGGGCCTTTGGGTAATAAAAAAATAAGAATAGGAGTGCGCCACCACAAAGAAAGCACAACATAGATTGCACAACATGTATTGCACCACATAGAATACCACCCATAGCTTGCTCCACATGTATTGCCAACCAAGTATTGTTAGAAACACACTGTTTAAAGTCCACGCTAACTAACAGATGTCTGGGTAATGCCAGTAACAGGCCGCGCGGGAGAGAGAAGGCTGTTCGCGCTCTCGCGCGGCTTGCTTGGGCCAGAGACCGCGAAGCGCGATTCTCTTCGCGCCTCTCTGGGTGACCCAAGTCTCCTGAAAGCAACGACCAGCCGTAACTGGGGGAGCTGTGTCCCCTACCCCCACCACTGGGGGCACCCATCGTATCGAACGCACCTCGACAGGCACCGCTGCAACGAAAGGCCCCCCAGGGAGCAGGTAAGGAACACAGGTCCACTGGTGGTGGCCGACCTGGAGCAGAACCGGGCCTGGCTCGTCAAGCGGCGTCTTAGAAGGCGAATTTGTGCTTCATCTTCGGGGAACCTTGTCTGTCCCGTCGCGCCTCCTCCTCCTCCTCCTCCATCCTCCGCTTCCTCCCCCCACTCCTAGCCCTTTCGATCAGGGTCGGCGGCACCGGCCGTCAGGCCTCTCCAATTGTGTTTCATCTTCGGGGAACCTTGTCTGTCCCGTCGCGCCGCGATCCTCGTCGAATCCATGTCGAATCCGTGTCGAACGCGTCGACTCCGTGTGCCGAATCCGTGGCGAAAGCGTGGCGAATCCGCGTCGACTCCACGCCGACTCCGCGTCGAACCAACATCGGAGTACAGGAAAGGACTGCCACTGACAGGACAGGAGGGCAAGGCGCGCCTGAGTCCGCCGGGGAGGCGGGGCCTGGAAGGCCAGCGCGGGCGGGCCGGCGCGGACAGGATAGGAAAGGTCCCTCGAAGATGTACAGTGAGTGTTATGTTGTTACCATCGTACTTAATGACCACATCCCAGAAAAAATCCGAGCACCCAGAAAAGCATCGAAGCAGTGTCGACCGAGTACCGCCTCCCAGTGCCCGACACGTGAAAACCCTCCATTTTCGGTATTTCCTAATCAGAGCTTGCCTCTGTTCCCCAATCAGAGCTTGCCTCTGTAGGGGTCCTAGCGGATTAAAGGTTTAGGTGAAGTTGGTCGCCGATTTCGATGGCCGGGCCCGGGCATGCCTGGGTGCCCAGGTGCCCGGCGGTGCCCGGATGCCTGGGTGGCCGGTGAGGTGCGTGGCCAATTTCGGTGGCCGGGCCCGGGTGCCCGGGTGCCCGGGTGCCCAGGGTGCCCAATAGCCCAATAGCATATAGCCCAATAGCCCAATAGCCCTATAGCCCTATAGTTTTATAGCCCAATAGCCCTATAGCCCTATAGCCCTATAGCCCTATAGCCCTATAGCCCTATAGCCCTATAGCCCAATAACCCTATAGCCCAATAGCCCTATAGCCCTATAGACCGATAGCCCCATAGCTTTGTAGCCCTATAGCCCTATAGCCCTATAATTCTACAGCCTTATAGCCCTATAGCCTTATAGCCCAATAGCCCAATAGCTCAATAGCCCTATAGTATAGCCCTGTAGCCTCATAACCTTATAGCTTTATAGCCCTACAGCCCCATAGCCCCAACAAAAATCTGATCGGGTTTTTTCTCCGGTGTCATTTCCTGGTGTTCGAAACTCTTTCTAGTGGTCAAAGCTAAAACAGGCTGGAACATTATAAAGTGAGTGAAGGTGTGGTAGGCTTCCCCCCGCCGCCCCAAGGAGAGAAGGCTGCGGCCGCGCGCAGCGCGCGCGCGCGCGCCGACGCGGCGCTGAGGCGCGCCAGCGCGGGGCCTTCTCCTCGCGGAGGACCTTCGGGATGGACAGAAACCCCCTTTAGCAAAACGCGGCTCAGCGAAAACGACCCCGGGCCCAGACCTGGCGGGCGCAAGCCTGGGAAACGGTGACCGCGGGGCCCCCTCGAGGACCGAGCAGGGGCGAAATTCCCGAATCGGCGCGTCAGGGTGGGGGGGGTGCTGTTCACCCCCGAAGCCTCGAACTTCCGCCGCTCGGTCTCGATCTCCTCGCTGTACTTCTCCTGCAGCTCCGCCATCTTCTCCTCGCGGCGCGAGGAGGAGGAGGAGGAGGAGGAGGAGGAGGAGGAGGAGGAGGAGGAAGAGGAGGAGGAGGAGGAGGAGGAGGAGGAGGAGGAAGAGGAGGAGGAGGGGGGGGGAGGGGGAGGGGAGGGGGAGGAGGAGGAGGAGGAGGAGGGGGAGGGGGAGGGGGAGGGGGCAAGCTAGGTGCGCTCGCGTCATATCTGACGTCCTACCCCTCCCTCCCATCCCTTACCATGGCGCTGATTTTCTCTATCCGCGGACGCGTGTCGTAGCGGACCTGTGGCTCCGCGCGCGCGTGCGTAGTGGGTGGTGGTGCACGTGCGTGCGTGCGTGCGTGTGTGCGTGGTTGTCGTGGTGGTGGTGGTGGTGGTGGGTGGGTGGGTGGGTGGTGGTGGTGGTGGTGGTGGTGGTGGTGGTGGTGGTGGTGGTGGTGCTGGTGGTGGTTGTGGTGGTGGTGGTGGTGGTGGTGGTGGTGGTGGTTGGTGGTGGTGGTGGTGGTGGTGGTGGTGGTGGTGGTGGTGGTGGTGGTGGTGGTGGTGGTGGTGGTGGTGGTGGTGGTGGTGATGGTGGTGGTGGTGATGCTGGTGCTGGTGGTGGTGCTGGTGGTGGTGGTGTTGGTACTGGTACTGGTGCTGCTGGTGGTTGTGGTGGTGGTGGTGGTGTTGGTGGTGGTGGTGGTGGTGGTGGTGGTGGTGGTGGTGGTGGCGGTGCGGCGCGGTGGTGGCGGGCGGATGGGCGCGCGAGAAAAAGGCCCGCGCTGGGGCGAGAACGCCATCCTGAACGACGGAGGCCAAGCACCGATCCGAAAATGAGGCCCACGTTGCAGCGGGAGCACGATTCGGAACGATTCGGGAGCAGAAATGAAGCCGGCGCCTCAACGAGAGCAGCATTTTGGGAAAAAATGACGCCGGCGCCTCAGCGAGAGTCGTTTCCCGGGATTTCCCGGGCATCCTGTGTGTAAAAAAACAATACGCGGAGGGTGCGCGGCCATCACCCGGACGCCATCAGGGGAAGGATTCGGGAGCAGAAATGAGGCCGGCGCCTCAACGAGAGCAGCATTTTGGGAAAAAATGACGCCGGCGCGAGAGCAACATTTTGAGAAAAAATGACGCCGGCGCCTCAGCGAGAGTCGTTTCCCGGGATTTCCCGGGCATCCTGTGTAAAAAAACAGCACGCGGAGGGTGCGCGGCCATCACCCGGACGCCATCAGGGGAAGAGGGAGAGTATATTCATATTGAGTAATTGTAGAGGCAGGCAGGGCAGCGCAGGGCGGGAGGGGGTGAGGGAGAGGCGCCTCCGGACGACCTCAAGAGGCCCCCGTGAGCCCTGGGTCGGGCACGTCCTCCTGCAGGCGGACTTTGGAAGACCGATCAAAAAGTAGGCGACAAATACCCAGAAAAAGTAAAACAAAAGGAATCGAAAACTCGTGCCCATATTATTTTTCAGCTGCTCTTGACTGTTCCTCCTGCAGAGGGGCGCCTCTGGAAGCCTGCCGAGGCCCCCCCTGAAAAATGCCACGGCCCCCGCAGTTGCGGACAAGGGCGAGGGGGCGGCGGGCAGTCTGCGAGGCTCTGAAGAAGCCCGCCGCAGGCGCCGATGCTCCACAGATCGCAAAAGGAGCACGAGCCCGCCGCAGGCGCCGCACAGTGCTTGCACTCGAGGTTTCTTGCTTGTGTTCCAAGACAACTGGGCCCCAGTGTCGGTGCGGCTGGCCCGTCGCCGCCCCCGTCGCCGCCCGTCGCCGAGGTCGCCGCTGGGACCGAGTGGCGATCCGGCCGGCTCGTCGACGCCGCCAGTCGCCGCGTTGCCTTGCATTGCTTGGCCTTGCATTGCATTTCAATCACTTTGTCTTGCTTTGCCTTGCTTCGTATTGCTGCGCATGGCTTTGCATTACTCTGCACTGATTTGCATTGCGATGCACTGCTTTGCACTGCGTTGCACTGGTTTGTATTGGTTTGAATTACTCTGCAGTGCTCAGTATTGCTTTGCAATGCTTTGCATTGCTCTGCATCGTGTTTTGCATTGATTTGCATTAATTTGCGTTGCTTTGCATTCCTCTGCATTGATTTGCACTGCTGTGCATTGCTTGGCATTGATGTGCATTGCGTTGCACTGCTTTGAATTGCTTGGCATTGTTTTGTATGTGCCTTGGCTTGCCTTGCTTCGACTTCCTTTGCAATACTTTGCATTGCAATACATTGCAATACATTGCAATGTAGTGTACTGAATTACGCTGCAATGTTTCGCTTTGCTTCGCAGAATTTAGCATTGCTTTGCATGACTTTGCATTGCAATGCTTTCACTGCATTGCAATGCAATTCTTTGCAGCGCCCTGCACTGCTCTGCATGGATGTTGCATTGCTCTGCACTGCTTCGCATTGCAATAGATTGCGGTACATTGCGTTCGATTGCGTTGCATTGTTGTGCATTTCTCTGCGCCAGCGTAAATTGCACCACATGGAGTGTACCACCTAGATTGTTCTAGATTGCACCATTGGTTGCACCACCTAGTCACGGGTGGGTCGCTGGTGGGTCGCGGGTGGGTCGCGGGGTGGGTTGCGGGTGGGTCGTGGGTGGGTCGCGGGGTGGGGCACGGGCTGGGTCGCGGGTGGATCGCGGGTGGGTGACGGGCGGGTCGCGGGCGAGGACGACGACGACAACAACAATAATAACAACCACACCGATCAAAACAACAGCAACAACAACAATCAGTTTACCCTCATGCGCGATGTCTCCGCACGAGGCATGCGACCAACATGATAGCCATCCCCATCATGGGGAATTATTGTTCTATAGCGGGGTCCGTTCTTCCAGATCTCCCGCCCAATGAGGTTTTGCAAACACCTCCTTCGAGGAATTTCAACATATCCCGCCTCGAAAACACATGCCCGCGCCTTGCTGCGCCGATGCGAGACCGCCAGTGGAGCCCCAGCAAAGGGTAAAGCACAAGGAAGTATCGAGCGACAGGATTGCCTTGGTGGGGATGGGGGGCTATCGGCGGCGAGGCAAGGACCTGGCCCTGAATAGACAGGGAGGAAGTCTCGAGCAGGGCCGCTGTTGTTGCTGGGAGCGGCGCCAATGCTGAAGAGAGTAGGGCGCTAGTCCAACGTAAAACAAAACGAAGTCTCGAGAGGGAGCGCTGGTTTTGTTGGGACGGCGGTTGTCGGCGGCGAGGAGGAACACCGCCTTGAGTAAGAAGGGCGGAAGCCTTGAGCGGGAGCCGTGGTTTTGTCGGGATTGGGGCTGTCGCGGTGAGGAACAGCACCTTCCTGAGGAAGAAGGAAGGAAGCCTCGGGCGGGAGCGTTGTTCTTACTGGGAGCGGCGTCAATTCAAAGAGAGTAGGACGCCACTCTAGCGTAAAACTGGAGGAAGTCTCGGGCGGGAGCGTTGGTCTTATTGGGACGGCTGTTCTCGGCGGCGAAGAGAAGCACCGCCTCGAGTAAAAAAGGGAGGAAGTCTCGAGCGGGAGCGTTGTTGTTGCTGGGGGCGGCGCCGATGAGAGAAAGAGTAGCGCCAGTCCAAGGTACAACGGGAGGAAGTCTCGAGCGGGAGCGCTGGTTTTGTTGGGACGGCAGCTTTCGGCGGCGAGCAAGAGCACCGGCCCTGAGTAAAAAAGGAGGAAGTGTCGAGCGGGAGCGTTGTTGTTGCTGGGGGGGCGGTCTTGTCGCCCCCCCAAGCCGCTCGAGCGTGAGCCTCATTTTCAATGGAAATGTAGCCGGCGCCGAGGAGAGAGCGCCAAAGCACATGGGGGGGTCCAACAACCATAATTGATCAATAAATAGCATTCAACAACAATCACAACAACAACAACAACAACAACAACAACAACAACAACAACAACAACAACCATTTTAAGGCTGTACGCTCTTACTTGCCCGCGAGTCATTCAACACGTATACCCTACACCCTCGATACCCGCCCTCTTCGTCTTCGATCACACCCCTTTCGGGGGGATTATTTCTCTTTGCTGGGGCCGGCGGGCTTAGACGTACGGGCAAACCGGAACGGGCGGACAATCCTTCGGGGGCGTACATCTCTCTGCCCGCCATTGGAATTGGCGCGGGCCCTGCAAGAGGAGGAGGGGAAGAACGAGGGAGAGTGGGAGGAAGGGGAGGGGGAAGGACGAAGGAAGAGGGAAGATACCACGTTGTGAAGGCGTCCTTGGCGCGTGCGTGGTTCCTGAGCGCCGAAACGCAATTCCAGAATAATTTGTGAGGACGTCGCACGCGAGAGCGCAGTCCTGAGTACATTGTGAGGAAATCTCAGGCGGAAGCGGGGGCCCTGACTAAGTTGCGAGGAAGTCTCAAGCGGGAGCGCCGTTCCTGAGCAAATTGCACGGAAGTCTCAGGCGGGAGCGGGGGTCCTCACTAAATTGCGAGGAAGTCTCAGGCGGGAGCGCCGTTCCTGAGTCAATTGCGCGGAAATGTCAGGCAGGAGCGGGGGTCCTGAGTAAAATTCGAAGAAGTCTCAGGCGGGAGCGCCGTTCCCACGTAAATTGCACGGAAGTCTCAGGCGGGAGCGGGGGTCTTGATTACATTGCGAGGAAGTCTCAGACGGGAGCGCCTTTCCTGAGTAAATTGCGCGGAAGTCTCAGGCGGGAGCGGGGGTCCTGAGTAAAAATCGAGGAAGTCTCAGGCGGGAGCCGTTGTTGTTGTAGCCCGGGGGGCAGGGGCACAGTTTGAGCAGGAAGACTTTCCTTGAGAAAAAACAAGGTGCGAGCCCCGGGGGTGGCACTTCAATCGAAAAAAATCAATGTGCACCGGTGGGGGGGGATCAACAATAATTATTCTTCAAGAATGAGAGTTCAATCATTTTACCCGAACGCGTGTGTTCTCCCCAGTGCCAGGGTTTTCATGCGACGCGAGACAATACCCCCACTTCGTGGGGGGGCAGTTCAAGCTCTACCAAATATCCAAACGACTCTTCGCGACCACCCAAACCCAGCTTCCCGCCCTATGACGTTGGGACACTTCACTTCGTGGCGTGCGGACGACCGTGGCTACTACACTGGCGTGGGGTACACACCCACAGAACTTGGTCACTTATTCGGGGCGCGCGTGTGCCCAGCATCCTGCAATTGTGACATACAATACATGACACAGACAGACAGAGAGAGAGACAGAGAGCAGACAGAGAGAGAGACAGAGAGAGCGGAGTTGGTCACATTTTTGGGGCAAGTTCCTGAGATCGTCGTGTTTTTTGTTGGTCTTGCGCGCGCGAATGTCCACTTTACTTTTTTTTGCAAGGGAGTATTGAAATTTGATTATGTTAGAACAAGAAAAAGTAGCTCGCGCGAGCTCATGTAACATAAATGTTGAAAAACCATTGGTTTTGTGGGAGTCGGACAGCGCGCGCGGGATGAAATTTGGACATTTTTTTTTGAAAAACCATTGGGTTTTTGATGTTTTTATGTTGAAATCGTTACGAAACCTAAGGTTCTGGAAGGATTTCGTCTTGCGCGCGCGAATGTCCACTTTACCTTATTTTTTGCAAGGGATTATTGAAATTTGATTATGTTAGAACAAGAAAAAGTAGCTCGCGCGAGCTCATGTAACATAAATGTTGAAAAACCATTGGTTTTGTGGGATTCGGACAGCGCGCGCGGAAGGACATTTTGACAATTTTTTCTTAAAAAACCATTGGGTTTTTGATGTTTTTATGTTAAAATCGCTACGAAACCTAAGGTTTTGGAAGGATTTCGTCTTGCGCGCACGAATGTCCACTTTACCTTATTTTTTGCAAGGGATTCTTGCAATTTGATCAAGTAAGAACAAGAATTTTCATTTTATAGTGTTTTTTGCAAGGGAAAACGGATTACAACAAAACAACCGGATCCGGTGACAATCCACTTTTCTGAAGCTTTCGCTAGAAAATGAAGGAAATGAGGCTGCGGCCTAGGTTTTGGAGGGGGGTCGCGCACCAGGGGCCCCAACAATAATTATTCTTAAGAAGAAATAATGTTCAACAACAACAGCAGCAATATCAGCAACAACAACAACAACAACAACAACAACAGCAACAACAACAACAACAACAACAACATCACCATCACCATCACCATCACCATCATCATCAACATCAACATCAAACAACAGCAACAACAACAACATCAACAACAACAACAACAACAACAACAATCATTTTACCCGAACGCGTGGTGTTCTCCCCAGTGCCAGGGTTTTCATACGACACCAGGCAATACCCCCACTTCGTGGGGGGGCATTACAAGCTCTACCAAATATCCAAACGACTCTTCGCGACCACCCAAACCCAGCTTCCCGCCCTATGACGTTGGGACACTTCACTTCGTGGCGTGCGGACGACCGTGGCTACTACACTGGCGTGGGGTACACACCCACAGAACTTGGTCACTTATTCGGGGCGCGCATGTGCCCAGCATGGTGCAAGTGCGCTCGTACGAATGTGTCCCGCATGGTATTATTTGACAGGGATGATGGCCCTGGCAGGTGCGCAACCGTTGTCGCAGAAGTTCGAAAAAGTTGCTCGCAAAAGCCCGTTTGACAGAAATGTTTAAAAAGTGTTGGGTTTCCTACGAATCCGCAAGAGCGCGCGGGATGAGATTTTGACATTTTTTTGTTGAAAAACCATTGGTTTTTTGATGTTTTTATGTTAAAATCGCTCCGAACACTAAGCTTTTGGAAGGATTTCGTCTTGCGCGCGCGAATGTCCACTTTACCTTATTTTTTGCAAGGGATTCTTGAAATTTGATTATATTAGAACAAGAAATGTCATTTTATAGTGTTTTTTGCAAGGGAAAACGGATTACAACAAAACAACCGGATCTTGATCACCTCGAATTACCTGAGGCTTCCTCACGAAAATGATGAAAACGTGGCTGCGGCCTAGGCGCGGCGGGGGGGGCGCGCACCAGGGGGCCCAACAATAATTATTCTTTAGAATTAATAATGTTCAACAACAACAACAACAACAGCAACAACAATAAACAAGTGTGAGATTGTTCGCTCACATCTGCTCGTGTGCCACCCGACATGTAGATCCCGAACCCTCGATGCCCACCCTGTTTGTCTTCGATCGTACCCCCCTTGGGGTCATATCTCCCTCACCTGCCACGTGTAGCTGGCGCAGCCCCTAAAACGGGGAAGGGAAGGAGGAAGAAAGAGATAATTATGGGGGAGAGAGAGAGAAGGATGGAGGACGAGAGAGATTAGCAGAAGGGGTGCTGAGCAGGAGCAGAGCAAAAAAGCGGCGGAACCAGGCGGGCGGGCCGGCCGCCGGACCTTCACGGGCAGTTCGGGCGGGCGGACCCAGACGGGCGGGTCGCCGAAGCGCGAGTCCTGCATGAATCACGAAGGAAACTTTAGCGATAGCACGATTCCTAAGTAAATCGTGAGGAAGTCAAGCGCGGGAGCGTGATTCCTGAGTGTCCAGGGCGCGGCCTCTCAATACATCGCGAGGAAGTCCCACGCGAGAGCGTGATTCTTCCATAAATTGTCAGGAGGTAACGCGCGAGAGCGCGAGTTCGAATAATCTGTGAAAAAGTATCACGCCCAAGGGGCATGTCAATTGAGAAAACATATTTTTACCAAAGGAGGGGATCAACCAGCTTTGCTTGTTCGGGATGAGAATTCAACGAGCAGAACCCGCGCGGCGGATCAGCCACGCACTCAGGAATGGTGTAGGACCGTTGGGACCCCTCACTCCGATGTCAGAAACATCAGCAAATCTCGATCCTCTCCTTCTCCTCCTCCTCCTCCTCCTCCTCCTCCTCCTCCTCCTCCTCCTCCTCCTCCTCCTCCTCCTCCTCCTCCTCCTCCTCTTCCTCCTTCGTCCCTCTTCAGCCCTCTTCATTGTAAGAAACTCCGACTCATTTCAGCATCCGACGTGCCGGCAGGGTGGGCCGGGCGTTTCGCCTGAGACTTGACTATCACTTATGACCCTGGAGTGGGACGCACAAAGACATACCAGTACTATATGTCCTCCTCGGAGGCGCGCGTCCAAACCGAACATATAGTATACCTATCTTGTAGTATGTCGTTTCCCAAGCGGTGTGGCCAGAGAGCGCCCGCCACGACGCATATATTATAAGATTTCTCGGTGCGCGCGTCGCCCCTTGGGGGGGGCGACACACATTTAGCATTAGTATGTTGGGGTGACGCCAATGAAGGCGGAAAATCACGACAGATACACGGGTGAAGGGCGCCTGGCTGATTCGCGATTCAACGCTTCCAACAATTGAAGAAAAATGGAGAGCGGCTCCGTCACAAAATGGGGCTGTCGCTTGAGACCTGACGACCACAAGTACGAATTGAGGCCGACCCCGTCTCAAAGAGGGGACCTCGCATGAGACTAGACTTGAACAGTGTGCAACAACTTCACGGATGGAAGTGAGTATGCTTTCAAAACGTGGCTATCACTGGACGTGCCCGTAAACCTTCTCATCGTGATTGACGGGCTCGGGCGGCTCCTTGTCGACACGGCGCACGCTGGTGCATGCCAGGGCCATGAGACTCCCGGGACCCTCGTCTGCCAAGGCGCAGCTCCTGGCCGTGACGAGGAGTGCCCGTGGGGACTCGTGGCGAGGGGGGCCCGCGACGGGAGGCTGCCCTGCAGCACCGCTGGACGTGCCCTGGGCCTCTCCCCCAAGAGGAACGGGACCCAGGAGCGCGCGCGGCCCTCGCGGGCACCAGCTCTCGGGCCCGGCGTGACCCGCAAACCGCGCGGGTGCGCGCGCGCCGCTGCAAAGGGCGGCGCTCCGCAGTGCGGCAGCCTCGCTGTGAACTTGGCATCAGGCCCCGGCGCGGCTTTTGGGGGCCCCTCCTCGGCTCGTACCCTGAGGGGGGGACGTGTAGCAGCAAAGGTTCAAAATGTGTTGCCCCATCCAGGACACCTCAGGAGACCTCCAGAGACCCCCAGAGATCTCCGGAGACCTCTCGGAAACCTGAAGGGGGCCACTCCTCGGCTCGCACAGGCGCAAGCAGTCATTCTGGACTGGCCCAGTGTGGTCGGTGGTACGTCTCTGCGACGGCCTTGGCTACTTACCCTCAGGGTGTTTTGGGCCCTGCCCCTCTGCGCTCACGGTGTACAGCAGCGCGCGGCTGGGCGATGCATGACCTGGCTGAGTGGCGACATGGCGTGACCCTCTAGGAGTTCGGATCTCGTCAGTCCCAATCGATCAAAAAAAGCGACGTGTCTGTCCGACACATCGGCCAGAGCAGTCCCGCTGGCTGGAGTCGCGCGTCCACTATGGCAATAAGCAAAGGCAATGCGGACGAGGCCACCCCCGCTTGAAGTAATTCACGCGGTGCAGGACGGCCCGCCAAAGGGCAAGGAAAGATTAGCAGTAGCAGCAAAAGAAGAGGGAGGGTAAACGTAAGGTTTCAAATGAGCGGACGGAGAAGCACGAGACAAAAAGCTTCTGGCAAACGGACAACTGGGAGCGATTCCGCGGAGCCGCTGGGGCGCAGGCATCGTCGACTGATCACCATAGATCGATAGCTCTACAAATACATGTTTATATAGATATATAGAGAGAGGCCTCCCAAATGAGGTCCGAGTAGATGGGGTCGGAGGATCGCGCCGCATCGCCGCAGCATCGCCGATGCATCGCCGATGCGCTGGATCGTCGACGTCGGCGATAGATCGGCGACGTCGACGTGGAGAAAATCGGGCTCCACACCGAGCCGCATCGCCGATGCTTCGGCAATGCGGCGCGATTCTTCGACCCCATTTACTCGGACCCCACTCCAAAGGTCGAAAGTATAGCCTTGGGCATGGGCCCAAAAAACTCTCGACACCGTTGCCAGATCCAGCTCTCCGTCGTGGGTCGCCTGTTGGCATGGCCCAGTGTGACTCCCGAGCGGCCCACAGAGGGTCAGAAAGGAGGGGGGAACGCTGCGTGGTTGTCGCGACTCCTCCTGGAGGTCGAGGCAGCGAGACAGCTGCCCACAGAGGCGAACCAAGCAGCGAGGCTGCTTCCCCTGCCCTGGACCGCCCCGTCCTTGTGGTAGCTGTCCCGGTGCCTGAGCTGGAAGTCGATGCGGCTGGTCAGCTCCTCAACCTGGCGCTCGAGGTCCATGAGCGCAGCCTGCGAGCACGGGCGCCGGGCTGCAGGGGCGACCGGCGACTTCCATCGTGCTTCCTCGGCTCGCTTCTCCTCCTCCTCCTCCTCCTCCTTCTCCTCCTCCTCCTCCTCCTCCTCCTCCTCCTCCTCCTCTTCCTCCTCCTCCTCCTCCTCCTCCTCCTCCTCCTCCTCTTCCTCTTGCTAATCCTCCTCCTCCTCCGCCTCCTCCTCCATCCCACCTCCCAGCTCCCCCAGCTCCCTTTTCCACAGACCTCCTCCTTGAGGGCTCTCCACCTACCCTCGTCTCTGCTCAACTACGCACCATTGCTGTTTTCTTGTCCTCCTCCTCCTCCTCCTCCTCCTCCTCCTCCTCCTCCTCCTCCTCCTCCTCCTCCTCCTCCTGGCTATCCTGCCCCTCCCCTCATCCGCCTCCTCGCTATGCCTGCCCCCTGCCTCTGGCGGAATCAGCGAGCCTGCTTGTCGTCCAGGAATCCTCTGGTCACCAAGATCTCGTCAGCGAAGCCGAGCGCGCCGTCCTTGTCCCGTCGGACCATGAGAGCGCCATTCTTGTCCTGGCGCGCTACCGTTGGAGGCCGCCCAGATCAGGCCAGAGGAGATGGGGTCGGAGGATCGCACCGTATCGCCGATGCAGTGGCAGCGTGGAGACGACAAAAGACGTCAAATCGCACATATCCGCCGACCCCGTCTACTCCGGCTCCATGTGGACGGCATGAAAACATGAGGGGACGCGAGCACAGAGAGCGACGTCATGGTTCAACATGCGTGCGCCAGTACGTCAGGTCGAACTTATCCTGCGCAACATCGCATGATCGGAAGGAAGGAGCAAGGCGGAAAAAGAGGTAAGGACACGGAGGGGGTGTTCAGGATCCGCGTCAGTTCAGACGCTACACTGAATTGGAGCGGGTCCTAGACTTCTCCACCTGCTCCTCTTCATCTTTCTCCTCCTCGTTCTCCTCCTCTTCCCTCCTGCTGCGCTGCTGCGCTGGCACTGTGGCTGGAGTTGCCGCAGGCAGCTGGGTAATGCCAGGAATTATACAGCAGGGAAGCTGATCTCCCGCTCTCCAAGCGGCAGTCTGAAGTTAGCGTTGAAACAGGTAGTGGACATCCACCCGAGGTGGAAAGACACCAAGCGAATCTCACCAGCCCTCTAGGCGTAGGCGAATTAGGGGGCCAGCTCTTGCAAACCACACTCATGCTCAAGCTTCGCGACCATTGAAATCAACGTCCTCATCCTCTTACCCGACAGCCTTCTCCTTCCAAAAACAAATCCTAATCGTCCTCTTGCTCGTCCTCCGCACACCTCCTCACCCACCCCATTCCCATCCTCTTCCTCCTCGTTGTCGCACTGGCCTAATTTCGACTCGCCATCGCCATAATCATCGTCGTCATCCGCAGAATCACCATCAACACCTACATCACCATCGACTCACCATCTTCATCACACAAGAAGGCGAGGCTGGTGACCGCATTGCTTCGCGAGGCATATGAGGGCAGCTGGCCTTCCCCATGGCCGCGTGGCAGATGCCAGAATGCCTTTCCCATCTGCCGAACTCCAAAAACTTCGATCACCACCATTATCAGCATCATCGTCATCTCATCCTGCCCCTACCGACCACATCCTATCGTAGACCTCCTACTGTGCATCTTACCTCGTCCCTCCTACCAGCGTCTTCATTTCTGCATGTATGCCTCATCGCCCCGTCCTTCCACCCATCCTCCCGCCCCCATCCCTATATCCTCCCTCCGTATCCTTCTCCTTCTCCTCGTGCTGCTCACTCCTCCAGCACCCTTCCTCCCTCCTTCCGCGAGAGGCTGTGATCTGCGATCCGCCTCTGCAGGCGCAGAACACCCACACAAGAGCCCTCGCGAGCACCGGGGCGGCCGCCTCTGGCGCCCTGGCCCGAGCACCCCCCCCCCTGTGGTGAGCTCAAGAAGGGCCCTGCCCTCCCCCCTCCCCTGGGAGAGCTCCCAGCTGCTCCCTTGCCCTGCGGGAGGCCCGCACTCTCGGGGGCCCCGCTCCCGTGAACCCACCGCCAGCCACCCCAGACATGCGACGCCCTGATGTTTTCAAGACGGCGCCCCTGGAAGACCCGACCCTTTCCCCGGGACCGGTTTCTCGTTCTGGCTCGTTTTGTTGCAGGCCCGAGGCCCGGCGAGGGCCCCCAGGGGCCGAAGATGGCGAAAGACCTTCCGTCCTGATTCTTTTACGGCGCCATCATGTCTGAGACCGACGCCCAGGGCAGCTCCTGCCGACGCACCCCCGCTTCTCAGGCCCGGCTATGGCCCGTGGACAGGCTGGCCCTTCGCCCGGGCACGCACCGCCTCTCGCCGGTGGGGGGAGGCGCCTCCGCGGCCGCCGTCGCAAGAGGCCGCTTCTCCCGCGCTCCCATGTGCGGCCCGAGCTGTCGGGGAGATGCAGGCTGGCGTGCCAATCTGTGGGCCGCCCGTGCGCCCACGGTGCCACACTTTACCAGCCTGGAACATATCCCTATCCCTATGCTGGGCACCTCCTCATCACGACGCCAATCTTAGGGATTCCCTTATTGTTTGAGGGCGACTCCCTAAGATTGTCATCGCCTTTGGGCGTGTCAATCTCAGGGGTAGGGATACGTTCGAGGCTGGTAAACTCTGGGGGCCGCGAGGGCGCCCTCGGGGGCCCGCGACGGCGCCCCATGGGCTCCCGGAGCGGCCGCGCGGACCCGGGGGCACGCCCGCGGCCTGCTTCGATAGACAGAGAGCACATGGTCGGGCGAGGTGTGCCGCCGAGTTCGGTGGCCGGCCGGGGTGCCCGGGTGCCCAGGTGCTCAGGTGCCCAGAGGTGCCCAGAGGTGCCCAGAGGTGCCCAGAGGTGCCCAGAGGTGCCCGGGTGCTCTATCGCCCTGTAGCCCTATAGCCCTGTAGCCCTATAGCCATATAGCCCTATAGCCCAATAGCCCAATGGCCCACGTAGCCCTATAGCCCTATAGCCCTGTAGCCCTACATCCCTAAAAATACAAATGTTTTTTCTCTGGGATCATGTATGTGTGTATACATATATCTAGATATACGGATGTATCACAACGTAAATGGTTCCTCATAGAGCGCACACCATCTCTTGCTAGATACAACCTGCTTGGGGTTCACGCTGGCTAACACCGTCGTAAGATCTTCAACGATTAAAAAAATAGCACCTTTCCTATCTAAGCAATTACACCACATCCAAGACCCGCACAAAATAAGCAAACTTATAAATGTCATACCAGCCATTGTTCTACCTAAATCCAAAGCATCCCCGAAACCGCAAACAAATAGCGGAGCGGCCATCGAACCCCCGGTCGTAATCGTAGCCGCTGCTCGCTCGACGCTCTGCTCCTGCGTGTGGGCACTCGTGCGCGGGGCGCTGTGAAGAAAAAGGTCGCGATTGACGCGATCTCCCACCTGCACCACAATGGCAATCGCGGCGGGGACGCCCTGGAAAAATAGCGCCACCGCAAATGTTGTCCACTATGCCTTCCCAGCCGCCGGCATCCCAGCTAACTAAGCGCACGTGATACCACAGGGTGTGGATGTTCGCATGCCCGGGCTGGCACATATGCCAACGCCTCGACCCAAAATGGCCACGGGTCACGACACAAATCAAAATGGCGGAGATTGCGATGAGTGCGCCGCGTAGCGGCGCATGGCGTGGCGGGCTAGCTGTGGTGACCAAGGCATAGTATGGCTTCCTGCTGTGTTCCCCTATTCTCCCATCATTTTCCTCTTCACGCTTTGACCCAGCACCTATGGGCGTTCCCAGAGGTCCACGGTGCAGGGAACTTCTCACCCATGGACGCTGTGTCGAGTGTACAGCGAGCTGGCGCCTGCGAGCACCATTCGCTCCCCTGGAGGGATGCATTCGCCAAGCTTGACCTGCCACCAAGAAGCCCTCTCTCTCCTCCCTCGGCCCCCCACCTCCCGTCCTTCCCCCTCCTCCTCTCCTCCTCCTCCTCCTCATCGTGCGTCCTTCTTGTTGATGTCGAAGATGCAAAGGCATCCGTCGTCGCCGGTGCTGAAGAGATACTGGTCGTCGCAGGTGACCCGAATGCGCGTGACCGGCGCGGAGTGGGCCTAGGCTCGACTTTCTCACATCGGATCGGATCGGGAGCCGTGTTCTGCGGGCAGCCCATGGACGTGAGCACGGGCATACAGATCGGCGCGAATGCATGCTCGCTTGAAGCATGTTCAAGCAAATCAAAAACGGGTCTGCATACTCGCTGCTCCTCCTGCTGGGCGTGGGCAAGCAGGAGAGCCAGGATGTACATGCTCGTTGACAGCAACGGGCGCACCACGAAAGCTCCTCTCAGAACTTCCTCGATGGCTTGCCATGCGGCCCGATGACCCGTCGATCACTCGGATCGAGCCCGTCCACTGGGGAGCCAATCGGCTGAAGAGAACACGAATCGTACTGCGCGGGCGTCGTGACGAGCAAGATTGAAGGCTTCTCTGAGAGTTCTGCCGACCACGTGATCAACATTGAAATTGGGGGAAGGGGTGGGTACAGAAACAACGGTCAATGTTCGCACGGAGTTGTATGTGACGCAGGAAGGACACCCTGATAATGATGATGCGATTATGTTGGAGACTCCCGTCCGACCCGAGCACATAGCACACCAGCCCTACATGGCGGAAGCTGGAAACTCTGAACCCAAGAATGTTGTCATCTCTCGGGGGCGCGTTCTTTACGTCCGCCACTTTTTAGACGCCCGAAATGGGTACCGAAAAAATGGGTACCATGCCCAACAACAAATGTTGTCCCGAACCAACAGCGGCGGCTGTTGGGCAGGCGGCCTTCTGTCTCGAATGGACACAGGCTGCGGCGGCGCAGACAGCGAGTCCTGTTCAAAATGGACAGGAACAGCTGTTGGGCATTGTACCCATTCTTTCCGTGCCCACCTCGTTCCTGCAGATTTACGTCCGCCACCTTGCGCTGCCCTTCCGCCGGCGGAAGCCGGCGGAGGCAGCCTCGCCCTGCTTCCGCCGCCCCTCCGCCACCTTTCCGCAGAGGAAGAGACGACGACTCGATCGATCCTCGAAGGCAAGGCCCGTTTTGGAACGCCTCATGTGGTGATAATCAACCTGGATCATAAGGATGCGCGGTGAGGGTGCAAGAGCCTTGGAGGGCCACGCTGCCGCTTTTCGAGCGAGCCCGGCCAGCGAGTCGCAGAGGATGAGCCGGGGAGGCGAGGATACAAGGCTAGCCTTGGGAAGGTTGCCCATCCTTCTTATGCGCTCCGCGGTCTCGGGAGCGCGGCGCACCGGAAGAGGCCAGGCGTCCAGTGGCCCTGGCTCTGGAAGAAGAAGCCGCACGCTGGTCCTCTTCGGAGTCTGGACACGGAGGCGGAAGAAGCTGCTCGGAGCAGCATTCGGCGCACAGGGGGGGGGGGGGGGCAGCCGTCTTCGCACCCCGGGGAGAGCGGCTCCCCAGGTGAGGGGTCGAGAGGTCCAGGTGCCACCCATCAGAAGAACCGAGGCGTCGGAGGTGGGGAAGTTCGGAGCGGAGCGCAGGAAAGAACACTCAGGTCATCACCGCTCCCTGCCACCAGGAGCACAGACGGCTGGATGCACATGCGGAGCATGCGGAGGCCAGGCGCTGGATATACCCACGCGGCCGACCAGCGGGCCTCGCCGAGGGCCGCCCGCTGGAAGGGCATG